GGGGGCAGTTGGGACTGGTGTCCCTCGATGACTTGGGCGTCTGCTGGCCAGTCGGTGCGCGCCGTTCACGGCGGCGCGCAGGGCTTGAACAATGTCCACACTGCGTCGCTCGGTTGGTGCAGCTCTGACTCTGACCAGGGCGACGTCGTCCTTGACGTGGAATTTCGGTCGCTTCTGAAGCTGGTGGGCGCCCCATGAAGCGGTGGCTGGTCGCCCTGGCTGGCCGCTGGTGGCTGGCATTGATAGACCGCCGTCGCGTGGCGTAGCCTCGGCGGGATAGCAGCGCCCTGCGTGACACTTGCTGGCCCTGCTAATCGGCTCGTCAACTGGTAGCTTGGACACAGCAGAAGCAGATGCACGCTGCTGCGCGTCACCAACGTTGGCAAAAGAAATCCGCCGATCCGGCGTGCGAGTTTCTCTGAGACCGTGGGCTTGAGCTCGCTCAAGCTTCTCTCTGCAGGGTGGGCGTTTTTTCCGTCCAATTCCCGACCTTTCTCATTGAACGCAAAGGGGGGTCTCTTCAACCTCCCCGTTCCGCTCCCCCCAGGGGGGGGGGGAGCGGGATTATCTTCACCCACCCCCTCCCGCTCCCCCCCCCTCGTAATCTTCCCCCTCTTCCCCCCCCCCATCTCCTCTCACCAGTCCACTTTGGGGAAGCCCTCCCCCCTCCCTCCCCTCCCCTTTCCCCCCCCAGCTGCCGTCCTGGGCCAGGGGCCTTTTTCAGCACACGGGGTCTGAGACTGGCCGCCTCCGCTGGGACAGCAGGCCATGCGTGCCGCCCCCGCCGGGCGACCGCGCGCCACGAGGCTCCTCCGGACGGCGCTGCTGCAGCCAGCCGAGGCCGGAACTCCGTGCCCCTGCACGGAGACTCGGCTGCGCGGCCCGCGTCGGCCGCCGCCCGCACATGCAGGACGTCGCCGCGCTGGTCGCCGCGCTGCTTCGCCGCCCCGTTCCGCTTCCACCTGCTGTGCGGCAGCAGGACGTGCCGTCACCGGACGCCCATCCGCGCGTGCTACCTCCTGCCCATGATGCCAGCCCTGTACACCCTGCGAAATGCTTAAGAAATCATGGGTTAAGAAATTCATAGTCTCAGAAATTTCATAAATCCAGAACTTCTATCAAAATCTTGGGATTTACATTGAAAAGTTAAGAATAATCGAGACTCTGGACGAAAACTTAGGTTTTCTTAAGCATAGCCTGGGGTGTACATGCAGATGGTGACTTTCCTCACGCTCATCCGCCGCCTGCCCATCCGCCGCCCCTCTTTCCCATGCGGAGTGTGCCGCCGCCGTCGCCGCCGGCGACGCGGGCGACGATTGGCGCCGCTGCTGATGTGCTGACGTCGCCGCCGGCTCTACGTCCCCTCGCTCTTCGGCACGCGGCTCTGCCGCTGCTGCCGAGTCCGACGTCCCACCGTCCGAGGGCTCTTCGCACAGCACTGCCGACTCCGACGAGTTCGCGTACCCGCGCAGTGTCTCTGCTGCTGCTGCTGCTGGCGTGGTGCCGCGCGGTGCCGCCGACGCTGCTTGGCGAGGGCTCCGGCGACCGGGGGGCTCTGGCGATCAGAGGGCTGCTCCGCCTGAAGCTGCTCAGCATGCGGCTCCTGCTGCTGCGGTGGTGCCTCTGGAGGCGCCCTGGCCCGCGGCCAGCGCGACCGTGCGGGCCTGCAAGCCGCAGCTGCCGCGTGTGCGGCCGCGCGCTCAGGCCGAGGGCGATGAGCAGCCCAGGCCGATGGAGATGAAGAGGGTGCAGCGGACGGCGCCAGCCGACATGGAGCCTCAGGATGCCGGAGGACCGCTCGTGATAGCGGGCAGTCTGACGGCGGCAGGGATGCGTCTCCCCGTGCTGGAGCGGGGCCCCGCCCTTCAGAGCTACTGGCGGCGCGTGGCACAGAAACGTGCTGCCGCTGCCTTCTCCGCGTCGGCGCCAGGATGAGGCTCGTTTCTCAGATTTATTAGCTTGCGTCGCATCCCCTTCCCTCGGTCAGCGCGAAGGTAATCGCCTTTGTTTGCCTCCGCCGTCGTCGTTCGTCCGTGTCGCGAGGGTGCGAAGTTTTCATTCCCCCGCTCAGGTACGAGATGTCACGACATCACGAGAGCAGGAGAGCTTCGGTCTGGGTCCCAGACTTCTCCTTAGCTCTCTTCCGCGTCACGAGAGCAGGAGGAATTCGGTTCGTGTCCCAGCCCTCTTTCTCCCTCTCGTTATTCCCTACCTAGGCTCTGCCTAGAAGGGTTCGTACTCTCTGGGGTTAAAGGGGCCGGGCAGTGGAAAGTGCCCCGGGCGGTTCCCCGAGTATCCGCCCCGCGGTTCCCCCAGTCCCCTGGGAGCGTTAGCTTTAGCTCCAGCTTTAGCTTAGATTTAACTTAACTTTAGCTTAGCTTTGGCTTAGCTTTAGCTTCGATGTAGCTTAGATTTAGCTTAGCTTTAGCTTAGTTTTAGTTTAGAGTTAGCTTAGCTTTACATTAGCTTTAGCTTAGCTTTAGCTTAGCTTTAGCTTAGC